AAACATAAGTCAATCACGAAGCTAAAGTGTCTCAATCCGATCATTTATTCGGAAACACGAATCAATAATTTATTGGCAATTGATTTCCATCAACATTTGTATGGTGACCCAAAGAAGCCGGGCCATTTGATTTGTGGCTTTTGCCAAAAGAAAATTGATTGTGACAATTTTTTGCGTCATTTCAATGAACATTCGTATAGTTTCAAGTGCTCGTACTGCACATACTATTCGGCCAATCTCGTTGAGCTAGTGTTGCATGAAAAGAGCGCACATAACATGGATTCGTTGAATTTTCATTGCTTCGCATTCTCAAAATGGATTCGAAAGAAATTCCTTAACACCACTTTGGTGTTTGGAAATAGATTGATTTTGAAGAATTTCAACGTTGCCCGAACAAATCTCGATACAAGTAAACAGTTTGATGAATTCATTAAAGATTTTCTGAATAAAAAACGAGACGAAGTGGGAAAAAGTATTGAATCGGGCGAGACAAGTGACATTTCGAGCCGAACACCGAAACCAATGCAAGTGACAGGCATGCACATATGATTGGATCGATTTTTGAGCTGTGTCAACCGCAATAACACCCAGCAAATTCACTGCTCTCCTCCCAACAATTCTTCCAAATAATCTGAACGAGCGAATAAAATAATTGAGACCGCCTCTTTATGCATAAGTTATCCATTTGACTGGAAAACGCCACTCGGTTATGCTGCTGGTTATATTTCGCCTCTGATATCAAAGAGAAGCTGCGCCAGTTCAATCGATTACTGGTTTTTATAGAAGCTACGGAGTTCACTGCAATGGAACGGAACATATTGAAAGAGAACGTGAATGGAATCATTGAATTTCATTCGGCGGCTAGAGAGTTGAGTATAACATTTCATTCTGAAAAAAATATTTTGTCATTTGAAACGGTGTTCACTTTTTCAGATTCGCAAATCGCTTCTCGGATGTAAACAGTGCCATTGTGTTTGCATGTCCAGTATTCAACATTGCAGTTTTTGGCAGCTTATGCTTACAAATAAACGATGTAAATGAATACATTTCTCAAAGAAATACTGGCAAAATAATTTAAATATTCTCTACAGTTGACTAAAACTGGAGACTTTGTGGGCATTCTGCAAGGTGGGGTATCAGTGTTGATATCTTTGTTCCCATTCTTTTTGTTTTGTCACTTTGGCGGTGAGATCACTCAACAATTTTTAGACATCAGCAATGCGGTTTATCAGCTAGAATGGCAAAGACTCCCGCTGGATATGCAGAAGGATCTTCAAATTGTGATGGTGTTGGCTCAGAAAAAAATTTACATGCGCGGCTATGGAGATACTCGTACAACACACTCGGTTTTCAAGAAGGTATGAAAGCAAACTGCTCGAAGAGTATTGCCAAACTAATTTTTGTTTGTTTTGTTTGAATTTTCAGATTTTGAAAAACAAATTTCACTACTTCATGGCGACACGAAGAATCTAATTTCTACACTTACACCTCTCCCATTAAGTGACAATGATTTACACATATCCGTGATTTTTCGGTTGAAATTAATTGAAATTAGTATGGAAAATCGATTTTGTGGATAAAATGAGCTCAAGCACATTATCATTTTGTTAATTGGATTGCATACGTGTGTTCAGAATTAAACGCATACTTGGATTATGTCCAGGATATTCTGATGCGTTACTTTCTAAATAACAGGACTCGTGATTTGGTTTTTAAAATCCACAATTAAATTTCGATTAATAGCAGTTCTTGAGTCATTATGGTTGAATTTTGCATGTTTGACAATGCTATTCGCACATCATGAAACGAATCATTCGAACTCTTGCCCTTCGTCATAAATACAGTCAGAATCAAAAGTGGACATGAAACCTTACCTAAGTGCTTATTGTTCAACATAAAGGCGTTAAAAAGAAATTGTTCATACCAGATTTTGGTAATGCAGGTTTAGAATGACCTTAAAAGTAGGAAATGCACAGAATTTTGTTACCGTTATTTTTTATTTAATCAATGTGTGATAGGTACTAGATGTAAGAATGCAAATACATGTATGTTTTTCTATTGCTACAAAACGGAATTTTTGTTCTTAACCATGAGTTTGTGTCGTAAAGCAAAAAGAGTTGTCAATTTTGTGTGAATGGTTTGCACCATTCGACTTTGAGTATGAAGTCATCAAAATTACGACCGTTCATCAGTTTAATAGCCTTAGCAGCGTCATCGTGCAGTGCGAATGTAACAAAGGCAAATCCTTTGCAGAGTCCAGTGGTACGATCGCGCGCCAGGAAGATTTTCTTACATGATCCAATGTTCTTGACCAAAGACTCGAGATAGGCTTCAACCATCGATTCGGGAAGATTCGAAATGCGAACACTCGTGTAATCATGACGACGAATTCTCTTGGCAGGCTTCTCCTTGTACGGTGGAATATATTTAACCAGTTTGGCACTAGCCATAGCGATATCGTCAGCCAATTTACGGTGCCGTTTACGAATATCCTTGCTTGTGATGAAAGGTATGTTCAAATCCTTTGACACCGTTGCTGTTGTAGCTGCACCTTTTGGCTTCAACCAATCAACTTTGAGAATCAAGTGATCATAACCATGACCGTTCAACAGTTGAATAGCTTTAGCTGCGTCTTTATGTTTTTTGAATGTAGCATAAGCGAATCCTTTGCAGAGACCGGTGATACGATCACGCTCCAGGTAGATTTTTTTATATGGTCCAATTTTCTTGACCAATTCCTCGAGATCCGTTTCGATCATCAATTCGGTGAGATTTGAAATGCAAATACTTGTGGCGTCATCACATCGAGGAGTGAAATGAGCTTTGTGCGATGGCAGGCATTTGCTTGGCTTGGCATCGATCGTTTCGGTCATTGTTGATGGTTTCACGTCGGCCAATTTTGCAGTTTTCATCGATGCAACCTTGCGTAGACAGTCATTCGTCGAATGGTCACCGCCAAAAGAATGACATTTGGAATCAACAGCTGGATCATTCGACTCCTTTTCCTTTTTGCTTGCGTTGATTGGCACGTCCAAACATTCTGACACCGTTGCGGTTGGTGCACCAACTTGTGGCATGGCCCACTCGACAATGAGAGTCGAGTGACCATATTTATGACCATTCAACAGTTCAATTGCTTTAGCAGCGTCTTTGTGTTGCTTGAATGTAACATAAGCAAATCCTTTGCAGAGCCCAGTGATGGGATCACGCCCCAAGAACATTTTCTTCCGTGGTCCAATTTTCTTTGCCAAATCCTCAAGATCGGCAAAAACCATTGATTTGTGCAGATTTGTGATGTAAATAGATGTGGCATCAGGACAACTAACTTTGTACGGCGGCACGTATTTGCCTGGCTTGGCATCGATCGTTTCGGCTGTTGTTAGTGATTTCACGTCGGCCAATTTTGCAGCTTGCATCGATGTATCCTTGCGTGGACAGTCATTTGTCGAATGGTCACCGCCACAAAAACGACATTTGGAAAAGTTCTTCATTGCATCAACAGCTGGATCATTCGACTTCTTTTCTACCTTCTTGCTTGCGATGATTGGCACGGCCAAATCTTCTGACACCGTTGCGGTTGGTGCAGCAACTTGTGGCTTGGCCCAATCGGCTTCGAGAATCAAGTGACCATATTTATGACCGTTCAATAGTTCAATTGCTTTAGCAGCGTCCCTGCGTTTTTTGAATGTAACAAAACCAAATCCTTTGCAGAGTCCACTGATGGGATCACGCCCCAAGAAAATTTCCTTACGTGGTCCGAATATCGTTGCCAATTCCTCAAGATCGGCAAAAACCATTGATTCGGGCAGATTTGTAATGTGAATAGTCGCGGCATCAGCGGTGAAACTAGATGGTAGCACACATTTGTCTGGCTTGGCATCGATCGTTTCGGTCGTTGTTGGTGGTTTCACGTCGACCAATTTTGCAGCTTGCATCGATGTATCCTTGCGTGGACAGTCATTTGTCGAATGGTCACCCCAACAAAAACAACATTTGGAAAAGTTCGGCATTGGATCAATAGCTGGATCATTCGACTTCTTTTCTTGCTTCTTCTTTGCGATGAATGGCTGGTTCAAATCTTCTGACACCGTTGCTCTTGATGCGGCATACTGTGGCTGAGACCATTCGACGATGAGAATGAAGCCATCATAATTGTACCCGTTCAACTGTTGAATTGCTTCGGCAGCGTCTGCATGTTGTTTGAATGTAACAACTGCGAATACTTTGCAGAGTCGAGTCATGTAATCACGAGCCAAGTAGATTTTCTGATACGGCCCAATTTTCTTGACCAATTCCTCGATATTGGCAAGGATCATCGATTCGGGCAAATTCGTAATGCGAACAACTGTGTCACTCATCTGAAATAGAATCAGAACAACACAGTTTAGTATCACATTCATCTATGAAAAATATATTGAATCGCTTTTGCGTCTATGCTATTGAGCAAGCCTATAGAGGTTCCTGTCAGGCAAAATCAAGTATAAGGAAAAATCGATTGTTAAATGTTCAAGAGACAAAAATAAACGAAGAAATGTCATTGACATTGTTTTACTTTCGTTCATCCATACCCAAAAAAATACGAAAAATGTGTCTTGAGCGAGCTAAAGAACGACAAATCAAAATGATGAAAAATGAGACGACAAAAACTCTAGAGGCTCACCTTACTGAGTGAATTTTGTTCAGCATCGAGGTGTTGAGCTTTATTTGTGAAAATTGATTCGGCTTGAATAACTTCGGTGACTGGACAAGGTATTTTCGTAGTTGATTCTGTTTTCAACCTGTTTCGATATTAGTAGAAAATGTAGAATACCTAGAAATGACTTGAAAAATCAATTGAAATTGCTGATCTACAACGCGACTACAAGGAAAATTCCATAAAATTCTACTGCGCAAAAACTATCGGTGCATCTCGAAATTCATTTACCAAAACATATAAATTTTTATCAAAGTGCAAAATATGTTGATCAAAGGTGGATTTACACTTGTTATATTTTTAAACAAGTGTAAAAAACCTAACGCAATTCGATGAATTTTTATTGAAATTTTTAACAAAACTTACGTTCTATGGCAATGAATTGGAAAACTTTACTGTACGAGACGTCACAATGGCTAGAGATCGATTGTGCACGTCAGCAACATGACTTGCATTGCACCAATTCGGCGATTTTGTGTTGTGGTACTACTGTCAGCATCCAATCGCTCATGACTCCGCTTTGACATTTCTGCGTTTTCGAAACAACACAAATACACGCACATTGCACACACGACTGTAGCAAACTCTGCGTAGTTGTATTCACAGCACGAGGTCCAAGCAATGTTTATGAGCATCAACAGCCGTCACACAACCCGTCAATTGTTTGGTTTATTTTCTTAGTCATAAGCAATTGTTTTAATAGAAAACCACTTGTGGTAACAAAATCATCCTGGAAATTCGCTATTAAAGGCTAAATCAACTCCAGAATAAAAGGTATTTACGCTGAACTGTTAGATCATGTTGTTATAAAATTATCTTTTACAGAAATTGTCCAATGAAAATGGATTCTGCAGAATAAATCTTTTAAAATGAAGGTAACATTGAATGATATTGTTCAAAATTCATTTCAGCCAAAATTGAAATGTTGGAAACAGTAAAAATGGAGCCAAATTTGTTGGAAATTCAAATGGACGAGCATTTGATGACAATTCAGCACGACACCATGGTTGCATTGAATCGTTTCGAAAAATCTGGTTTGGAATTCGACAAGGAATTTCTTAACTATTTCCTGAAGCAGTCATTTGATTGGTAAATTCTATTGATTTCGATTATGTCTCAAAGCAGCATTTTCTGATGAATCGTCATCATCAGTGATGATGACTTTTTTCATACCCTCAAATTCCCTGAACAATTCGAATTCCATTTATTTCTCTGAATATAGCCTGAAACAAGCATGCATAAAATACAGTACGGAGGCAAAGCTAAGATCGACACGTGACATGAAAGCCATAATGACACCATCATCGGGAACAGAAAACACGACGATTCCATTTTTGGGAACAGAAGAAGCCGTCATAT